ACCCTGTTCGAAAGTCAGTGTCCTCGATGGCTGCACTCCACGACACTTCTTACCAGTCAGAACCCTCCGGCGGTCAGAACCCTCCGTGGGTAGCCCTTCTCGAGTTGGCTGACTTTCAACGAAAGCACCAATTTAACAATCATAAGGCTAAGAGGGGAACCATCCCTCAAAAGCTAGCTCAAGAGGTTGGAGAACCTCCTACCTTATAAGGCCTCCCTGGTAAGGAGACCTCCCCAATGTGGGACTTGTTACAATACCACCCCGTTCGAAAGTCAGTGTCCTCGATGGCTGCACTCCACGACACTTCTTACCGGTCAGAACCCTCCGGCGGTCAGAACCCTCCGTGGGTAGCCCTTCTCGAGTTGGCTGGCTTTCAACGAAAGCACCAATTTAACAATCATAAGGCTAAGAGGGGAACCATCCCTCAAAAGCTAGCTCAAGAGGTTGGAGAACCTCCTACCTTATAAGGCCTCCCTGGTAAGGAGACCTCCCCAATGTGGGACTTGTTACAATACCACCCCGTTCGAAAGCCAGCCTCCTCGATGGCTGCACTCCACGACACTTCACTCACTGGCACTTTACTCGGCCTTCTTACCGGTCAGAACCCTCCGACGGTCAGAACCCTCCGTGGGTAGCCCTTCTCGAGTTGGCTGGCTCTCAACGAAAGCACCAATGTAACAATCATAAGGCTAAGAGGGGAACCATCCCTCAAAAGCTAGCTCAAAAGGTTGGAGAACCTCCTACCTTATAAGGCCTCCCTGGTAAGGAGACCTCCCCAATGTGGGACTTGTTACAATACTACCCCGTTCGAAAACCAGCGTCCTCGATGGCTGCACTCCACGAAACTTCTTACCGGTCAGAACCCTCCGTGGGTAGCCCTTCTCGAGTTGGTTGACTCTCAACGAAAGCACCAATGTAACAATCATAAGGCTAAGAGGGGAACCATCCCTCAAAAGCTAGCTCAAGAGGTTGGAGAACCTCCTACCTTATAAGGCCTCCCTGGTAAGGAGACCTCCCCAATGTGAGACTTGTTACAATACCACCTCGTTCAAAAGCCAGCGTCCTCAATGACTGCACTCCACGACATTTCACTCCACGACACTTCTTACCGGTCAGAACCCTCTGGCGGTCAAAACCCTCCGTGGGTAGCCCTTCTCGAGTTGGCTGGCTCTCAACGAAAGCACCAATGTAACCATCATAAGGCTAAGAGGGGAATCATCCCTCAAAAGCTAGCTCAAGAGGTTGGAGAACCTCCTATCTTATAAGGCCTCCCTGGTAAGGAGACCTCTCCAATGTGGGACTTGTTACAATACCACCCCGTTCGAAAGCTAGCCTCCTCGATGGTTGCACTCCACGACACTTCACTCACTGGCACTTTACTCGGCCTTCTTACCGGTCAGAACCCTCCGGCGGTCAGAACCCTCCATGGGTAGCCCTTCTCGAGTTGGCTGACTCTCAACGAAAGCACCAATGTAACAATCATAAGGCTAAGAGGGGAACCATTCCTCAAAAGCTAGCTCAAGAGGTTGAAGAACCTCCTACCTTATAAGGCCTCCCTGGTAAGGAGACCTCCCCAATGTGGGACTTGTTACAATACTACCCCATTCGAAAGTCAGCGTCCTCGATGACTGCACTCTACGACACTTCACTCCACGACACTTCTTACCGGTCAGAACCCTCCGACGGTCAGAACCCTTTGTGGGTAGCCCTTCTCGAGTTGGTTGACTTTCAACGAAAGCATCAATGTAACAATCATAAGGCTAAGAGGGGAACCATCCCTCAAAAGCTAGCTCAAGAGGTTGGAGAACCTCCTACCTTATAAGGCCTCCCTGATAAGGAGACCTCCTTAATGTGGGACTTGTTACAATACCACCCCGTTCAAAAGCCAGCGTCCTCGATGACTGGACTCCACGACACTTCTTACCGGTCAGAACCCTCCGGTGGTCAGAACCCTCCGTGGGTAGCCCTTCTCGAGTTGGCTAGCTCAAAAGGTTGGAGAACCTCCTATATTATAAGACCTTCCTGATAAGGAGACGTCAGGAATGTTGGACTTGTTACATAAACATATTTCTAAAAGGTACAAAGTTATCGTACAAAAATTTTGGGAAAAAATTACACGGTCGGTTTTTGACAAACGTTTCCTTGGTTTCTTAATGTCCTGCATGACCTAACTTCTTTCCTCTTGTTCATGTTCAGTGGGTGAGGTTCTTACACGAGTGTGTTCAGTGATAATTGATGCCGTGTTTTCAATTTACTATTTTTGTTTTCGGGTAATTTTAGGGTGTTTATTTAGATAGGTAATACGACCATTAATCCAACTCAATTCCATAAACAAATTAGGTTTTGTTTTGTTATGATTGGGTAAAATTCAAATTAATTCAATTTAACCAAATTTTCAATTGATTAGGTGATGGATCCTGTATATTTATTCTGAGACCCAACATAATCAATTAAATAATAATAATAATATAATAATCATTATGTCATTATTAAACTAACTAAATATGTATTTTTAAAATATTATATTATTAAATTATTTAAATAATAAATAATATAATCTATTTTTCAAAAAATTATTTAAAAAAGTCTAAAAAGTATATTTTAAAATGAAAAACATGTTTTTTTTTTAAATTGACCTAATTAACTCAATCAAATCCAAAAAATCAAAATTTGGGTTGGATCGGATTAAATAGTTTTTTTTTTTGGATTGAAAATGATGAGTTTGATGACCCAATCCAACTCAACTCTTATGCCTGTCTGCTTTGTTTTTTTGTTGAAGGCTTCATGAGTGATAGTCTGGTTTTATGGTTCACGGTATCCTACACTCTCCGACGTCGTTGTTTTAACCGAATTTGTCTTCATGCAAGTTCTTTCTCTACTTACAATTTTAATTTTGATTTGCATGTATCAATTAGTTTTCAAATTGTAAGAGGGTTTGTGCAGTTTTTTTCTAATTTTGGAAGAAACACTTCAAGTTCCTTTCTATTTTTATTTGGTTGAAATCTTTACTTTTTAAATTTCACCATTTGATATGAATTACTGACTTTGAATGAAGAACGATTTTGATGAGGGGGTAGAATTGGAAGATGCACTACATCCACATAATTTACATAATTATTCACTAAAGCTTAATGATAAAAGATAATTATTCTGTGCACTGACAAAACCGTCTCTAATCTATTTTACTAATGATCTTTATTATTATTATTATTATTATTATTATTATTATTATTATTATTATTATTATTATTATTATTATTTAAAGTTATCTAATATCTGTTGCGTCTAGGATTTTGTGTGAAAACTCTCCATCAGTTTAAATTTTTATTAGTGTGTTTTTCAATAAAGTTGAAGTCAATTAATCTTATTAACTGACCTAAGAAAAATGAATGACGCTAACTTCGGAATTTGAAAATACCAATATTAAATATGTCACTTTGGTCGGTACAAATTAGTAAGGATTGAAATTTAGTGAATTGGATTTTGTTTGCATTACAAGGATTTAGTTATGTTGTAATTTGATTTTTTTTTTAATGATAAAAAAAAGTGCATGAAGTTGGAATGGAACAGAAAGAGTAAACCAGTAGCGTGGGATTTAAAATTTATATTTGACTAGCAATCTAATTTGGTATTTATTAGAATAAAACAATAAATTAAAACATTAACAAGTTGATACACACATACATAAAACCACAAACAAATCCTTATAGAGAAAAGAAAATGACTACCTGGTAAAAAAATCTTCAATTCCAGTCATAAATCTAGTAATTATTCATAATTTTGATAAAATTACTTAATATTGTATGAGGTATTGTTAAAAAATATATTATTGACTAATAGAATATTTTTATTATACACATTTAATTTTCACTTTATTATAAGATAATTTTACAGTGATAATTTAGAACATTATATATATATATATATATATATATGTATATATATATATTATAAATTAATCTGATAAAAAATTTACTTATTTTAATAATAAATATAAATGTAAATATTAATCATTAATTATTCAAAAATTTAATGATTGAAATTATTATTATTTTAGATTAATAAATTATTAAAATAAAAATAAAGATAATAAAAAATAAATTTTTAATTTTTATTACGAAATTTAATAAAATCTCTTATATATTAAATTATTATGATAAATAAAAATTAATTTATTAATATATTATTTAATTAATTATTTTGATATAAATATATTAATATTTTATTTTTATTTTTAGGCATTAGTATATTGATTTAATATAAGACATATCATTCGTTCTAAAATATATATTAGATTATAACATTATCTTTAAATAGTTCATAGGAATAAATTAGAATGGACAAAATACTCATTTTAAAAGCTGTATATATTCTCTCACAATACCATTTATTCAGACCACGAACATAATTATAAAGATTTTGAAAAACCTAACATTTTCTTTACTTTATTCTTTCCAAACATTTTGATATTCATCATTCTTAATATATTTTATTCTAAGTTTTAGCAAGCTTTGATTTCATAATAGAAATTTTAATGAATAACACTATTAAGAGTTATGATATTATGATAATTCACTTCTTTTAAATATTCATTTAACAATTTTTTTTAGATTTTTATATTATTATTTATCTATTTTATTTAATTATTTCTCCACCAATCAATTCAAAAAATAATATTTTAAAATTATTTATGAGATATTTAAAAAAATTAGGTGTAAAAAAAATAATATACTCACTTGAGAGTGAAAGGAAAAGAAAAGAAAAAAATCTAAGCCACGTAAGAGGATAACATAGAATCCAACCAATGGCAGCAATGGTGATGAGATAACCCCTTCCAAACCCACCTCCGCTGTATATTATCAGAATCACTCGTTGCTTCTCGCATTTCAGCCACACAAAAACCAATCCACTCCTTTCTCCACTCTCTCACTCTATAAAACAACGCCATTGCCTTTTCTCCATTTTGATTCCCCTCATCAACACACAAACCTTCCTTCACAATGGCCACCGTCACCTCCGCAGCCGTCGCCATTCCCTCATTCACCGGCCTCAAGGCGAGTGGACCAACCAAAGCGATTGCCGCAGTTAAAGTCTCAGTTCCCCAGACCCCACGCTTCAGCGTCAAGGCTTCCCTCAAAGACCTTGGAGCCGTCGTCGTGGCCACCGCCGCCAGCGCCGTCCTCGCCAGCAATGCCATGGCCCTTGAAATCTTGCTCGGTGGCGACGACGGCTCTCTGGCCTTCGTTCCCAGCAATTTCTCCGTCGCCCCCGGGGAGAAGATCGTGTTCAAGAACAACGCGGGGTTCCCGCACAACGTTGTTTTCGACGAGGACGAGATTCCTAGCGGCGTGGATGCAGGGAAAATCTCCATGCCCGAGGAAGACTTGCTGAACGCACCTGGTGAGACTTACAGCGTCACTTTGGAAACCAAGGGAACCTACAGTTTCTACTGCTCGCCTCACCAAGGAGCTGGTATGGTCGGAAAAGTCACTGTCAACTAAATCTATGTGACTGAATAAATAAATTTTCGTACTTCCTTGTGATTTGTTTTTGTAGAAGAGCTTAATTCACATCGTTCTTGTTACCATGGAATATATATTGTGTATGGGATGAATGGACCGATATAATGCCTTTCTTCTACTTCACTTTCTTCGTTTCCTTCCGTATAGTCGATTAATTCTCCCTCTAACTTGACCAAGAAACAGGAAAATAGAAAAAGGAATAAATTCCATATACAATACTTTTTTTTGTTCACATTTGATAAAAATGTTTCACTATTGTGAACCTTTAAAGTTGAGTAAATCAACAAAATGGATCTATGAAATATTTACGCTCTTTGAATTTAGTTTACAAAATTGATGGAATATTAAAAAATGTTTCTAACTACTGTAGTTATTCGCGTGTTAGTCCACTGATCAGCGAAGTTAAAGGATTACTATAGTCACTTCCATTCTCTTCTCGTCAAAAGCAAAACCAAGTTTTATGGGCATACGAAAACTGACCAAAATTTTACATGTCATATCACCGACGATGCTTCCTAATTCCTTATGGTCTCTCACTAGAGTGTTGGATGTTGGGTTTGGAGAAGAAAACAGTAGTATTATATTTTGTGGTGAATTGCTTTCTATTACGTGTAAAAATGCTTGTATAACTTTTTTTTTTTTTTTTCCGACAACACCATCTCTTCTTTTGAGCTAGGACAGAAAGGAGAAAACTTAAGAAGATTAAAAAGAAGAAAAATTAGAACCAGAACTTGTATTTGTGTTCAGGCTTCAAACACTTCCTGCCTAAAAGCACCCACATATTTTTTTCAAGTTGGCATTTGCATCACATCCATGCATACTCTTTCACGTTGACGTTTAAAGTTGCCATCTTCATGTTTCTACATGGCTTTAAGGTAGTTATTTCCAACGCCTATTCGCAAAGTTTATAACTCTAGTTTCTCGCAAGTCGTTTTTAGGAGTGTTGATGACCCATTCCATCCAAAGGAACTTTCAATGATTGCATGTTTACAAAATTAGACCTTATGTGTTTTAAAGATGAGTTTGAATGATATTTTGTATTGTTCTAACTTAATCCAATGTAGATATTCTTCTAAGAAGTGTGGTTTTTTTGTAAAGTAATTAAACACTAATAATACAACTTATTGACTTAATAAATAATATTATTTTACCATTATATTATATTATGACTTAAATGTATTTTTTGAGCCCTTAAATCTCGAGTTAAGTTTGTTTTTCATATTTAAAATTTAAAATCATTTTTTTAATCTTATAATTTGAAAATAATTTCTTTTAATCTCTTGATCCAAATATCTTATACAAAATAATTATTAAAATGAATATTTCAAAAGAAAAGCATGTACATGATACTATAGGAATGCAATGCTAAAATAGATTGTCATAAAAACAATTTGTAATTATTAGTCATAAGCAAAAACTTTAATGATGTTTAAGGGAAAAGAGACTAAAAGATATTATTTTTTAAAATTACTACAGCAAAAAAATAAATAAATTAGTTTTATACAACCAAAGGCAAATTTATTGTAAAATTTAAAAAATAATAAACATATTTAAACTTTATGTTATTTATTTCAATATATTTACTTTATGTCAAGATAAATATATTATTCGAACAGGTTTGTTTAACTCTGTTTTGTCGCGTATTTGTCTCTTCAAGTTGTTTGGTTGGGATTAAGAATTAACCTCTCTCACGAGCATAATTTCTTTGAGTTAGTGGTAATCATGGCAGAACCGTCCTTACGAGATCGTACATAGATTTTTCTTCACTTTGATGAAGAGGCTAAAATACAATGCGATGCAACAAAATAAAGTATAAAAACTAAATTGAATAAATCCTCACAACTTGCAATATTAGAAATATTAAAATGTTTGACATAAGAATTACACTAGGAGAGAAGAGAAAAACTAAATAAAGTGAATTTTCATTTAATTATTTTTTATATATTTTAACTATTGACATTTTCAAAAAGTATTATTAAAATTTTGTTTAGATATAGAAATGAAATAGATAACTATAAAAAGATGATACCTTGAAATAGTTGAAAGAGAAATTAAAAAGTTTAAGGATATTATGAAATGAACTTAAAAATAAGAAAAAGTAGGAAATGTTAAGAATTTGACTCTTTTTCAATTTTATATATTAATTTATGGGATATAGTTGTATTTATCCGTAAATAAACTAGCAATATTTTTGCTACTCAAATACTAAATTTGCATCAGTAGACTGATTTAAGAGTTAAGGATACAAATATAGAAGTGGAATGAAATGAATGAATGGTTTATTGCCCGTTCGACCATTTGGCAGAAAAGAATTGATGATAACACATGCAATGTGGCCGTGACAGTCAACTAAATAATAACTACTATACGCAGCCTGTTGCATATATTATTACCGAGTAAATGGTTAAAAAATAAAAATTTTATACCAATAGATCCTTGTCTTATCTGAGACTTAGTACTCACTCCCATTTCACGTAGAAATTAGGAGGGATGCAATGCCTATGTGGTTAGAGCGTCAGGGAGGTTAGACCTGGAGCCAAGGACCTTACCCCCGACATCTGGGAAATACTCAAATCCGGGTATAGACTTTACTTTCCCACTGGCATTTACACTAACAGGATATTTCAGAAGGTGTCCTTGCAATGGAGTATAATCATCAGCTACGTATTTCCTCCAGTTCTCTTCGGCAATATTGTTCACACTATTCACGCACTCCAGACTTTCAGGATCCTTAAAGCAAGCTTGTATGCTCCCCATGTGTTCTGCCCACAAAGACATCCTATACCCATATACCTGCAAATACCATAATTAAGTCCTCCCAAAACAAATAACTGGGTTTATTTTTATTCACGTGACATGCTAAAGAAAAAAACAGCTGAAGTTGGTAATGCTATAAGTTAATTCAACAAAAATGTTATATAAAAAGATTAACTAGTTTAACTAGTGTTACACTTGCATTTACTTATTTTAATTTTTAACCATGCCATGTGCGTCTCACATTTTAAACCATTCCACTGTGTCTCACACTAGCCTTTTGTTATTCTGCTAGTCTGCCTAGAGAGTTATGTGTGACATGCTATATGGACTCGCAATCAAAATTTCAAGAGCCTTTTGTATCACTAGTTTGACTAGTGGGATAACGAATCAATAGTCGAATGAGTCTTGTGCCAGTAATATATTTTTTATTTATAAAAGTGATGCAGAATGTTGAGTAAGCCAGAAAGATGAACTAAATACTGACGTAGATTTTTTGAAGAGACTAACGTAGATAATTTACAGTAGATATATGTACCAAAGAGAAAGCTGTGTTAAAAAATATATTAGGGTACATATTTAATACCTGACCATGTGGATGTCCCTTCTTCGCACCCCATGTGTGATGGGGTTGATATGCACCCATTGCTATCTCAGTATCTCTTGATCCAGCCATAGATCGTTGATTGATATTGGCAGACCCAAGAATCACGTATTCATCATCCACAATCATTCCCTTGGCATGTACATAAATCATAAACCTTCGGAACTTTTGTGAGGCTGGAATCTGATGATCATTTGCATAAAGATGTTAATGTGATTAAATGCAAAACAAGTATAATAAACCCAAACTACATATCTACCAAGAAGTAAATTGGTCATTACTTCGCAATTAAAAAAAATAACTTGTTTTCTAAAATCTCTATTATTGTAACATGATATTATAAATAAAAAGTAGTCATTAAAAATAGAATCACCATTAAATAAAAAGTGTTTTAGAAATAATATTATTAAACAAGTTGAAATTAGTTAATTTTTTTATATATTTATACATTCTTTATTTATATTTAAACTCAAAGTATAGCACTACTGCCTAACACTTGTCAATTGCTAGTTTATTGATTCATTAATGTACAAAACCCAGAAAAAAACATTTGAATGATTACCGTTTCGCCATTATCTGGAGGCAAATTACTTGGACTTGATAAATCAGTTGCCGGCTGCTCTCGGTTTCCAAGACAATAAAAGTTGAGGTAATCTAGTGGATGATTGTCAAGTTGCATAGATGTTAATTCCCGAGCTATGATACCATACATCATTTGCATAGTTTGTCCCTGAAAATGTGAATTCCTTTTTCATTAATAAATATAACACTTGCAATTGATCAACGAAAAAATTGTTTCCTCTTCAAAAGTTTTATATGATAAGCTAGCAACGTAATTTTAACTAACCTGCCAAAAGAGTATCTCTTGCACAGAAGCAGAAGAAGGGTTACCTTCGGGCCACATTGGGATGACAATATAAACTGTAAATCTCTCCTTGGACCGTATCTTATTAACTATCTTTAGTGCCAACTCCATTGGAATAAGGTTGTCAGCACCTGATCAATGAAAAAGAATGAAACTTTAGTTAAGTAGAAGATATTACTAAAAAAATTATGAAAAAGGACGATGTCAATAACCAAGTCTGGTCCCATTAGATGGGCTTTTTTTGAGGAAAACCCAATGATCTTTCAACTGATGCAGATACTTAGAGCCCGTTTTTCATTCATCAAGTGTGTTAAGCAGTCTTTCGATGTTCAGGAGCAAAAGACAACGGTATCGTGATGGGACCCGAACTCATTCTTACTGTTAGGCCCAAAGGAACATTACTAGCATATTTTATATTTTATTAATAATAAAAAATATGAGCCATCTAGGTTGAAAAAGAAAATTATTAGGAATCAGTTATTATTTCTGTTTTGTGTGTAACAACATTATTATAGGATACCAAGGTGTGTATCGTGCTGTTATAAATAATATCCCATTGTAATGATCTAACAGTGGAATCAGAATTAAGTCCATTTCTCCCTATTGTTCGAGGAGGCTGCTCTGACCTCAAATCAGACTCTTACGTCATAACATATTCTAAGCATTGTCTACAATATTTTGTATAGTTCTGAGCTTAAAAGTATCAACACGCTTGTCACATGCTAAATACTAGTTATAGGTGCTTATACAGAAATTATAAGCAATAAGCAGATGCAACAAGTTACATTAGTAAGTATCAATATTCTGCCAAAACCTGCATCTTTGTAAGCTGGCCAAGCAAAGGATGATCCAACAAAATATTGATTCTCTATATAAATAAAATGTTGAGCAGATCTGATCGCATGTATATATGCTGTTTGAATACTCTTGTCTATGACCAAATTTTTTGCACAGACAAGGTTCTGCAATGAATGGCAACAAAAAATGAAATTAACGAGACAGGAAATCCAAAGGTTACATGACATTTACATAAGTAAGCAACTCAATGTTTGGATAACCTACCTGGGACTCAGCTTTAAATACATCCTTAGGAAATCCTTTCAAAGAGCCAGAATCTATGGATCTAAAAACCTGTGAAAAACATAAACCAAGTACCAGTAAACAAATTATCTGTTGAAAGAAAAAAGAAGGAAACAGAAGACACTTTAAATACAGTGAACTAGTACCTGAACATGCCAACTTTTAGGATCGTCTTCCTTTGAAACCCATAGTTCAGGATCATCACTAGAAATTAATTCAGAAGGACTAAGAATCCAAGAGATGCGTTCTAACTTGATCAAAGAATCATCGTGCCAGTGAGATACTCTTTTGAGCTTTCGACCCAACTCAGACCATTTGGTGGCCTTTCTCCAGCGCTGCTCAAAATTAGTGAGTATATCATATGCAGCAGGGCCTTCAATTTTGCAATGTAAATCATGCCACGGTTGCCTTGGACCCTTGGTTCCCGCCTATTATTAAAAGTGGAAGATAAGACAAATTTCAGTTGGTTAGTACACTTGCGATCTCAATATCGGTATCAAACAACAGTTCATGTTTATGAAGTAACAACTATATGCGAAGTGCCAATAACAAGACAGTATTTATTTATAACATGCTAAACCTACTAAATGAGTGGAAGGCCTGAAAGTTTTCTGTCACTACCCTTTACATGTCTTTATGAATATTTATACATCAAACGAAGAAGTCACTATCAGCTTACGAATGTCTATACTCTTAATTGACCTCATCGAATAAAACAACTGTACTTCTGCTTATTGAAGGAAACAGAAACTGGACATATATCATCCTAAAAAGAAAAACTCGTATGTGTGTATATATATATTTTGGAATGCAACAACTTCTATGCAATGCAAGGTATAATCAGAGATTATGAACTTACGCAAAACGTGGGATTATGATAATCGTCCTGATAAACAGTGTCGATATCTCGTAAAATTCTGTGTTCGGGTGTATCATACCGGCCATCACAAAGATCTAGACCACCTATAAATGCAGTTATCTTCCTATTATTGCCGTGTGCTTGACTATCCACAATCACACATTTCTGATGATGTGTAAAGAGAGTTCCGACAACCTGAAATTTGGCGCCAAAGTAATATAGTCAACATGCTTCTCAGTTTTTCGAAAACAAAATAATGTATTTTTAGAAAACCAACTCTGCTGGGATTCAAGAATCTCAACTATTGATTATAAATTAACAATTTTTTGTTTTTCCAGGTCAACTATTAGGTTAACAGTTGACATATGCCAGGCGTGCAGCTTGGGGAATGCAAAATGGAAGGGTTCCCACTAATTCAGTAACACGTCAATGCTAAAGTTCAGTGAAGGAATTTGTCCAGTGAATGAGAATTAGCTTCATGTTACGATTTCACATGATCTTGTCAAGTAAAAAATTAGTGTCTATTTCTCTCTTCATAAACATTTTTAGATTTTGATACGGCCTCCCCGGTTTAACGTCTATCAAGACAAAAAAATATTTTATCATGTAAAATCTCGTGTTAGATCCATCCCTCCTATGCCTGTATTAAAACTAGAGATATTCTGAAAGGATGGAAAGCAAATGTGATTAAGTATCAAGAACTTTCTAACAGAAAAATGACAAAATCTGGGAAAGCTACTAAACCATAGCATAAAGCATGCCTGCTGCCTGAAAATGCTAAGCTTACTGCTGGCATATCTTGGTGACAGCAAACATCTAACTGTAGAATGCTTGAAAAACTTTCGAGTTTCTTCATCATGGGTTTGCATTACTCCAGCCTGCAATCAAATTTACTAACTTGTAAGGTTGACAAAAGAGAAACTCAACAAACACCATATTCAACTGGGCAGAATGCCACATAAAGCAAATATACCCAAATTGATTTCGATGTTCAAGCAACTGGGAAGTACATAAACGGGAATGCAAACAAATTAGAACATAGACTATGAACACACAGTCATGTGCCTATATAACATGTGATTTGAAATCCTAATCGGTAACCGGGTATTTAAATCAAATTTGAAGGCAGTAACAGAGTAAGGTTCAATTTGAATACTAAAATCCAATATTAATAACGGAAGGAAGATCATCAAACCATTCCTAAATGGTCCTATCAATATGTCACAAGTATGTTTCAATTAAGGAACAAAAATCATATCAACATGTTACTCCTGAAACTGTGTAAGCCAATAAATAAATAAAAACTTATTTACAGCTATATCTGGATTCTGTTTGGGAAATAAACTCTGTATCTTATCATGATTGGTTATCCTTAAAGTGTGTTTGCACACCTATATTTTGTCTAAAACGATGTTTTCATAAAAGTAAGATTCGAGTTTCTTTTGCAAATTCAGTTTACAAAATATAAACTAATCCAAAATTAAATTTGTCAACTTTGACTCGAAGATGCACTACGCAACATATCGTGAGAGCAACTCCTGCTAGAAATGAAAACAACAAAGTTGAACAAGACACTAATAATGTATGGATGCTTAATTTTTTAATTAAGTTGGTGGGGAGTGGTAACATGTCAGTTTAGTTAACAAAATCATGTAAATATATTTTTTTACCTTAACAATTTAAAATGATTTAATGTTATATATTTAAAGATTTCATTTTTGCCGAGTGTTTGAAGGGAGAGTGACTATCATTATGTCGTCACTCCTCGTACAACTGGGTAAAATACTTAGCAAACATATACAAAAAGATTGAATCAAAACCTCCAAAGCTATCAGCCATCATTTTATACAGTGAAATGCACATTGTAGTGGGGAATTCACACTGTGGGTGAATTTGAGATTATTTGAATGAATTTTCGGAATTATTAACAGAAAGGTATTGAATTTAAAGGAATTTGAATGAATTTATAATAAGAAAGATATTCAACTTAAAGAAATTTGAATGAGTGGGATAAAATATAAAATAATTGAATAATATTATTTTCCTCCACGACTGATTGGTATGAAGTGGAATGAAATATTCGAGGATAATTCAGAAATTTCAGGTGTGGGGCCATCTCCCCGTCACCCCCATCACCCCCAGATTCACTTGTCCAGTCAGTAGAAACAAATCAACATATATCACTCTAAATTGCCTCTTTCGAATTACTTTAGAAACAACCAAAGCATTAAGGAAATGACAAAACGAATCACGTACCGTATTAATGAAAAACTTGCTGTGCGAAGTCTTATCATCCCAAACCAATAGTAAAACTCGCAAACCTTCTTGGGACTTGTACTTGAGCAACTCCCCCAGATTCAAACTGCCACCGCTAGGTAAGGGCTTGGTAGGCTCTCTCACGAGCTTGACCTTGTGGTAGATGGACCATCCAACGATGTAAACCAAATGATGCGCTTCCAAAATGGCGTGGCATATATCTTCCCAGCACTTCCCATGCTCAAACACCACACCCTCGTCTAACTCAACCTCCGGCAACATCGCCTCAGGCACGTGCGCGTCCTGATACAGCGTCACCGCCCCTCCGTGCCGGACCGGGAAATACGAGTCCCGAACCACGAACCGGTCCGGATCCGGCTCGTCGATGGAGCGGAAAATGCGACTGTCCTCGCACCTCGTGAATTTCATCGCGAGACGCACGGCGCAGTCAGGCTTCGGCGGTTTCCCGAACGAGCCGATAATCGGGAACCAATCGCTGATGGGTTCGCCGGAGAGGATCCTAGTGGCGGAGACGATGACGACTCCGATGAGGTCTGCGCCAAACATGTCATTATCCTTGACGAAGAACTCGACCTGCGAGGCCGGGTGCGCGAGCGGGATCTTGAAGTGTTCGTCCCAGGTAGGATTCTGCGAGTTGGAGATCACGCGGGTACGCGCGACGGTGGCGCCAGCGATGCAGACGGTGACGTAAGGATCGCTGGTGATGATTTTGTGGTGGCGGTGACGGGCGCGGTATAGGTTCCGTTTCCCGGTGACGGAGGCGCTGCAGGTGTTGAGGGCGGAGAAGAACCTTCGGACGCGCTCGGAGAGCAAATCCATGTTGGGAAGGCAGCGAGCCTCAATGATTACCAGATCGAGAGTCCCGTGGAGGTAGACCATGGTGTTCTGTTTTGAAGGCATTGTGATGGCGGAGGGTCACCAGTGGCGGAGACTAGAATAATGCGAAGCGGAACCTTCCAACGCTCGCTACCAGGGAACGGCGTACGGAGGCTACTGCATTATTACTCCGTCGGTTGTTTTGTTCGGCGGCGAAACCGCGTTTGTGCAATAAATAATAACTTATTATCGTGGCGTTAGCGGGAAAGAGAAGGTAACGGGATTAGCCACTCGTTCCCTTCTGTTTCTTGCCGTTGCGTCTAATTTTGGACACATGAACACGTGTATATGGCAGGATTAGGAGATGTTACGCCAAAATGTCAACAATGCCCATTCTGAATGGCAACAACATCATCTGAGCCCAATTCATACTTTGTGGGCCCCTTTTTACTCCTTAGGCCTCTTTTTTCTCAGACTCAAAGCTATTTTTTTTTAAATAACCATTAATTTCGAAATATTTTTAAAAAGTTCAATATGCGAAATTTCTGACAAATTGATTTTAAAACATATTTGGAAAGTTTTTGTTATGGTTAATCTAAAAAAAATTTAGAATAAATTTTTCTGAAAATTTTGGGGCTGCGCAATTTAGAAGTTTTTTAGAAGAATAAGTTTTCCAAAATATTTCTAGAAAGATGATCCCATAATATTTTTTTAAAAATTTATGTAAAGTTTAATCCGAAAAATTTCTAGAGAACTCGTTATGGAATATCTTTTTGAAAGAGTGAATTAATAATAATAATAATATGACTATATATGAATTCATTGCATTTTTTTATGTTCATTCAATGTCTGGCGCTTCCATCATCTCGTCCTCCTCCAACTTTTGTTTTATCACTTTCCTCGGTGCCTGTGTGTTACGTACTTAACTATTTTTGTCAGGAATGACATGGGCGACAATGATTCCTTGCAGAACTGAAGAAAAAAGGACGTGTAAAGTCACGAAGATATACACATGTAATGTACTCATTAGGAATAAAGAATAATGATGAGAAGAAAAATTATTTGTATAGTATTATGCAATACTAGTCCGGAGGTTTATTTAAAAAAAAATAAAATTGCATGCTACAAGAAAACATTCACTAGAATACAAAAATGTAATTGATCATAGTAGAAAAAATCCCACAAGGGTGCAGAGAGAGAAAAGACATTATAACTTTTTCCACCCCCATTATAGTTTTCCTCTCCTCACTATATATTGATATCAATCACCAATCATAATCCTTTAGAGTCTATCCTGATGCACCTTCTTTTTTGTATGGTCGTGCTTGCCTCACCCCTTCTCTCATGTGCAACTGTGTTCGTATTGCCTTTTCTAACCACTTCATCATTTTGTTGCTTTGTGCTAAATAACTCCTTTATCCTCGTGACATTTCCTCCCTAAAAAATCAACCTTGTCTCAAGGTTGAATTTGGGGTAGTCTCAATCAATAACTTCATTGTCTTCCCAAGTAGTTTGTGCTGGATCCAAACTGTCCCACTGTCTCAGAATCCGTTGATTTTGTCATAATACAATTCTAGAGTCTAGGATATTGCTTGGTTGAAATAAGGGGCCAAATTCATTAGTTGACAGAGGCAATGAGAGATAAAGTTCTTTATGATCACCATGACACTTCTTCAATAGTGACACATGAAAAACTTGATGAATTTTTACAAAAATATGTATAAGTAATTTGTAAGCCACCAATCCAATGCGTTGCATAAAGCAAAATGATTGAAATATTTGAGTCCTAACTTTTGATTCTTGCTCAATACCACAGAATGTTCTCTACCAACACCAAGTCACCCACAACAAACTCTTGCAAAAAAATGCCTTTTTATCTACAAATTTTTTTATGTGTTGTTGGAACTTGAATACTTGGTGATAATTGGGGTTCTTTTGCATAAATAATTTTAAAATGAGTCATGTTGATACTAGATTAGAAGAAAGTGTTGTACCAAAATTCAACATAAGGAAGAAGTTTACTCGACTTTAATAGGTTGTATTCTGTAAAGCTCTTTAAATATGTCTCTAAATACTTATTAAGGGCTAATTTGATCATCACTCTATGGGGGTAGAATGAACTCATTGCAAGAGTAATTTCACTTAATTTAAAGAATTATTTTTGGAAGTTATTGGTGAAAACTGTTTCTATCTAGAAAAATTGATTTGGGAATGTCATGTAGCTTGATAATATGTTTATTGAACAAATCTGATACTTGTTTGCTTGAATAATAAGCTTTGAACATTTCAAAAAAAGGATACTTAAATCCTTCTATATTTGTACCAGAATAGGTAGGGGTTGCAAGAGACAAACAAGTACAATATTATTTGTTTTGGCTTGTTGGCATATGAAATATTATTGCTCATGACTCTTAATATTCTTATACATTTCTTGCCAGAAAAAATACAAGCAATCCTTGTGTGACCTTCAACAGGAGAATTGTGAAACTCTTGGAGAATTTGTTATATCAAGGAATGCGTGGGGGAATCACTAGTCTCTCCTTCCAATAAAGTAGTTGATTATGAGTTGCATAATTTGGGTGAGGAGGTTATCCTAGGCTACATGCTATAATATTTATCGTCAATGGTAATAACCACCTTTACCTGGTTGATAATATCCCATGTTGGCTGAGAAATTGCCATGAGTAATGATTTGGAAAGTGCATCTACTCCTATGTTATCTTTCCTAAGCTTGTACTCAATGGAAAAATTATAGTTAAGGAATTCGTGTATCCAAGCCTGTTATTATGAAGTTTGAATTGTTTGATCAGTAAGGCCTTTTAAGTTCTTTTGGTTAGTCTGATAATAAATTTGTGGCCGAACAAATAATGACGGAACTTTGCAATAACTTTTGTTATAACATAAAGCTCCCTCAAATAAGTTAATTTATTCTGTATTGTAGGGAACACTTTTTTTTTAAATGAATACAATAGGGTGATGTTATTGGCTTAGGCTGACACCAATACCAGTTCCAGAGGCATCAATTTCTAGAATAAATGATTTTAAGAATTCTAGTAATGTAAGAACTGGTCCCATAGTGATATATTATTTCAATTGTAGAAATGCTACAGTCGCTTGATAATTCTATTGAAAAATTCCCCCTTTTAACAAATTAGTGAGATGGATAGTTATGGTGGTGTAACCTTTGGTAAATTTATGATAATAACCGATTAAACCTAAAAATTCACTCAATTGTTTTAGTGTAGTGGGTATTTGTCACTCCAAAATAGGTTGAACTTTGGAGTTATCCATTGTCACACCACTTCCTGAAACCTTGTTTGCCAAGATAAACTACCTCGGTTAGTCCAATTGCCATTTAGACAATTTTATAAACAATTTATTTTGCTACAGAATTTTCAACACAACTTCTACATCTTGAAGGTTTTAGGACCATGATGAGTTAAAACTAATATGTCATTGACAAACATCAATACTGACTTTCTTAAAAAGTCCTTAAAGACATGGTTCATTAAGCTCTGAAATGTAATTGGTGCATTGGTCGAAAAACCATTCAAAATGTCCTTAATGAGTTCTAAAAGCCTTCTAGCTCTATCCTAAAAAACAAACTAAGATTTAATGGTACTCTAATTGTAGATCTAGTTTTGAAAAGAATTAAGCTCCATGTTAACTCATCTAATAGTTCACCAATAGTGGGAATGAAAAATTATCCTTGACTATGTGTTAGCAAAAAATCGATACAAGGATCGAAAAAACGGAAAAGAGAAAATCGAAGATCATATGATTGGTTAAAAAGTTGATAAATCGGAAAGGTGGTTAGAAGACATTCGATGACCACCAGACAATGTGAACACATAAATCGAGAATAGAAATCGAGAATCAGAAGATAGAGGAAATTCGATGAAAGTAAGAAATCGATGATAAAGTATGAAGTGTAAAGTCAAGGTTAAGAAAAATCATACTTGACAACTGGAATCGAGATCGAGGGAAATGGTTATCATGCATAGGGAAACATGGAACGTGGAAGAGGTTTTCTAAACCGTAAGCTAAGGTAAAAACCGAGTAACGTGCACATGGAACGTGGCGACAGTTTTTTTAACTGTTCTTAGGAGGTTACATTGAAGGATGCCTATAAATAGAACGAAGCTTGAAGAAGAAGGGGGAATTGGCAGAGACAACAGAAGCACAAGTGAAAAGTCTACCGGAGAACGACGAATCATGAAGTTTCTGGCAATCTGGATTTCCGTTCTCATTGACTGTTTTTACCGCTTTCTTTACTTTCCCTGGTAACTTATTTACATTCATCAATTTAAGTTCCTGTACTTTAAATTTTTGTCATTTACCTTCAATACAATATAAGATTCTATACTTAAATTTCTTGCCTTTACTGTTTCTGCAATTTTGATTTCCTATTATTTACATTTTTGCAATTTCAATTCCTTGCCATTTACATTTAATGCAATTTGAGGTTTCCGCATTTTTACATTTTGCTGCAATTTGATATTCTGCACTGTTTCTTCGATTCAATATTTTCTTCTTTACTGTTGTCTTTACTTCGAGTTTCTTAATACAAAATATCAAAAATAGTACTTTCGATTGTCAATCAGCACACTAGGTTGCGTTGTTAGCGTTTCTTGATACTATGAGATTTTCGATTCTCATACACGTTTTGATTGAAAATTGTCGCTAGCCTAAGTGAAAAGAATCTACGTGGTCGAAATTTGATCAGAACCTAAGAAATCGAAATCGATCAAATTTTCACCAGAAACAAATTGGCGCGCCAGGTAGGGGTCGTTGTGTCGAAAAACACAAAAATTGGCTAGTTCGAAAGTGTATGAGATTAAGGAGTGGGCGAGTAATAAGAATGAGTCAAAATCCACCAAATAATCAGAATAATAGTGAGATTCTAAATAATTCGCATTCACCAAACACTGGGGGGCAAGTTCACAATGAGAATATGCCCGTAATATCGATAATTGTGAGTACGTCGATACCTGTGAGTACTGAACAAAGCCCAGACACATTAACAAACACTCAGTTAGGGTCTAGTACTGTAATGTCAAACAATATGCAAACTACGGGAAACC